AAACCGCCTCACACTCTCTGCTATTGTAAAAATGACGCAGAGAAAGAGTGTGGGGAGACACACACACACATACACACACATATATATATATGTCTTCGCATATAGACAAATAGATCAAAAGGAAAAAACTCGAGAGAGAAGGATATCTCTCTATTTATTTGTATATATATATATATATATATATATATATATATAGAGAGAGAGAGAGAGAGAGAGAGAGAGAGAGAGAGAGAGAGAGGCCGATGAAACAGAGAAGAGGCAATGGTGGGGTGCAAAAAAATTGAAAGAAAGAGAGAGAAGGTGATGGTGGGCGGCGGTTTAGAGAGAGAGAAATAGAAAATGACGGAAAAAATAAGGGTTTGTTTTTTATTAGGTATAAGGGTATTTTTGGGTTAAATAAAAATAAAAGGATGAGCGTCAAATTTTATTTTCACCTAAGGTTTTAATTAAAATATTTTATTTGTGGTTGTGCCCCACATCTAATTAGGTTTGGTTTGAGGGGTGTCTCCAATATTAACCCAAAAAAAAAACACTAAAAACTAGGCTATTTTTGTAAGTTATGATGAATGATAAGTGGAGTAACTGATACTAGTGGGAGTTATCATAAAAGGATATGCTCATTCATCCATCAATTAAAAATTTAAAATGAAGAAAGATTAATGATTTTTTAGTGAAGATTAACAATTTATACAAAATGATCTTACCTAATCTTATCAACCGCCTTTTTGTATAATCAAGATTACTTATAATTTCGTCTCTTGACATTTGACATTAACTAAATAGATTGGTGATCACGGATTGGATAAGTGTTTGTTCGACTAAAGCTCGTCCCATCTCAGGTCAATTGATGGTCAAATGAACTTCGAAAACAACTTTTAAAATCCGATAAAAAAACCGAAAAACGAAAAATCTATTATTTTGTTTGTAATTGGTAAAATTAGTAATAGAAGAAACTAGTATGTAGATGTGTTTTGAGTGATCCCTTTTTGTGAAGCAATGAATAAATCCACAAACATGTTGGAGTTTAAAAAGAGAGTGTGAAAAAGGGAATAAAGGATGAGCTTTTTCAACTTACTTTGTATGACTAATTAGGCAATGGGAATAAATGATGAATGGTAGAGCATATGTTCTTGTCAAAATCCAATATCCCACATACAACTCGTGACCATATTTTCTTTCTTCTAGATAAATAAAATTAAAGAGAGCAATTAATGAAGTAAATTAAATACCACAAATAGGAGTATCAATGTATTAGACATTAGGGTTAGTGTGGTAGATAATGTATAGAAATGGTGATCCATTATAGCCCAAGAAATTAATAAGACTGACCCATATTTACATTTGCATAGCACTAACTAGACTTGGTCCGGTAAATAAAATAATCATGTCCGTTTGTGAATGTTTTACAAGCCCACACACTCACACCAAATAATTAACTTAACACACACTAAACTCACTCACAAAACCCTAGTTAACTAATATCAACAAACTTATATGTTGTCTCACTGCATATATCATATATATATATGGAACTCCAAATGGCATCTCCACAACTCTGCTTCTTAAACCATCCATGTATAAAAGTTTAAAACTCAAATTTATTATTATTATTATTATTATTATTATCCGTTAATTTTGTGATTTAATTAGACGCTTAACTATGATCAGCTTTGACCATTTATTTATCTGCTAGCAACAAACAAATATCAATTAAAATTGTCCCAATTCCTAAACAATTCCCGGTGCAAGGGACGGCCTTAATTATATTATATCTGTAATCATATAATATATAATACTTTGTACTGAATTAAGAAGCCTGATCTATAAATATGAAGTTGCTAAGCAGAAATGTAAATCACATTCAAATTAAAAACATACATACATAGTTTCTTGCATTTCTCAAATATTATAAGTTATTACAAAGCTCTTGATTAAATTTGCACTAAATAATATTTGTGCGAATTGAGTTCTCATGGAAAAATACATTATAGTAATATTAGCACTCTCATTCGCCTGCCTTTCACTTGATGCGTTCGAGCCGAGTCCCCTTCAAGATTTCTGCGTTGCAGATTCCACTACCTCCGGTATTTATTTATATATATATGATTATAATTAACAACTTGTGATATTATTAAAATAAATGTGTGTAATTAATTATTGATAACATTGCAGCACGAGTGAATGGACATGCATGTAAGAATCCATCATCGGTTGGAGCAAACGACTTCTCGTTCAGCGGCCTTCACATGCCCGGGAACACATCAAACCCTAACGGCTCAAAAGTGACACCTGTCACAGTATCACAGCTACCAGGCCTCAACACACTCGGCATATCCATGGTGCGTATAGACTACCTACCGTGGGGGATTAATCCTCCGCACACGCACCCCAGGGCAACCGAGATCTTGACAGTGATAGAGGGATCTCTACAGGTAGGGTTTGTGACGTCAAATCCCGATCGATATATAATGCCCTCATCACGAAAACACTCGTGAAGGGTGATGTGTTTGTCTTCCCGGTGGGACTCGTGCACTTTCAGAGAAATGTGGGGACCGTAAATGCGGTTGCCATAGCTGCATTGAGCAGCCAGAATCCAGGAGTGATCACCATTGCTAATGCTGTTTTCGGGTCGAAGCCCGATTTTAGTGGTGACGTTCTTGCTAAGGCGTTTCAGGTTGATAAGAGTGTCGTCGATCAGCTTCAGACCATATTCTAGGAAACAAAAAAAAAGTTATTAATTATTATGTTAATTTGCCAGCTGTACGTGTGATTTGAGTGTTGTGTATGTCTGCTTACCTTTTATTTGTTGTGTGTCTGAAAATGCCAGTTTTAATTTTTATTATGTTGATTTATGAAATAGTTCTGTTATTGTTTTCTTTTATTTGAAATGGTCATGTTATTGAATTTTCATTATTTATCAAAGACCTGATGATTCATATATATAGTTTAATAATTACTCAAGACTTGTCTCCTCATTAGTTAAGCAAAAGATCTAATAATAAAGCTAAAATATCATTTTCTGATGAGAGATAAGTATTAACCACTACATTATTAATTCCCAATCCCACTTTTTATTTTTCTCCAATCAAAACGACAAAGTCAACAAATTTGTCCCATGAACTTTATAATTTCCTGCACAAACATTTACAAATGCATGTATCCACCTATAATTATTTTACCTTTACCCCAGGCAGTTGTACCATTTTGAATTTCTTACATTGACTAAACACTATCATCAAATCAATTATTAATTGTCTTGATCAATGATGATATATATATATATATGCCCTGCAGCCTGCATAATAATAATATTCATGCATGCAACAAATCCCAAATCAATCTTCACTATATATACACATAAAACTCAATTATTATTTTCTCATAAAGAAAAGAAATCAAAAAAAGTAGAGATCTAGAAAAATGCATTCTTTTCCTTCATTAACCCTGGCATTAATTACTACAGCCGCCATATTAGTTCTTCAACTTGCTCCACTCTCTGAAGCTCAATTAAACTCATCATTTTACTCGAATTCATGCCCTAATGTTTCCAATATTGTCACCACTGTAATCCAGCAAGCTTTACAGTCGGATCCTCGTATTGGAGCCAGCCTCCTTCGTCTCCATTTCCACGATTGCTTTGTTCAGGTCGATCGATCTTCACTCCATATATATATATCCACTTGTTCAACAACTTTCCTCCTCCATTAATCATTCAATTTTTTTTTTCATTTATTTAAGAATTTATTGTTGTATATATATGTATAATCACCAGGGATGTGATGGATCAATTTTGTTAGACAACAACGTCAACGGAACAATACAGAGCGAGAAAGACGCAGCTCCAAACACAAATTCGACTCGAGGGTTCGATGTTGTGGACAATATTAAGTCCGCCGTTGAGAATTCTTGCCCAGGCGTTGTGTCGTGTGCAGATATTTTAGCCCTTGCTTCTCAATCTTCTGTTTCCTTGGTACTACTGCCCACATATGCACCTATTCATTTAAATCATTTTCTTTTAAAATTAGATATGTAAAAATAAAAATCAATTTAAAAAAAAAAAAAAAATTGGTGATTAATAATGAAGGCAGGAGGTCCATCATGGAATGTATTGTTAGGAAGAAGAGATGGAACAAGTGCAAATCAGGCGGGGGCCAATACCGCCATTCCTGCACCTTTCGAGAACTTGACCAATCTCACTGCCAAGTTTTCTGCTGTCGGTTTAAACATTACCGATTTAGTTGCACTATCAGGTACGAATTAAATTAAATTAAATTAAATGTGTTTCTGTTTTAATAATTATTCTCAAAAATTAAAACACATGCTGCTGCTGCTGCAGGTGCGCACACTTTTGGGCGTGCGCAGTGTAGACTGTTCAGAAACAGGCTGTACAATTTCAGCGGCAGCGGCGGCCCCGATCCGTTGCTGAACGCCACCTACTTGGCCAGCCTCCGCCAGATTTGCCCGCAGAACGGCGGCGGATTCTCGGTGGCGGATCTCGATCCGACGACTCCCGATACATTCGACGCCAATTATTTCTCAAACTTGCAGAGCAATCAAGGGCTCCTACAGTCCGATCAGGAACTGTTTTCGGCTTCCGCCGGCGCACAGACGACGTTGCCGATCGTTAACATGTTTAGCGGGAATCAGAGTGCGTTCTTCCAGAGCTTTGTGGCGTCGATGATTAATATGGGAAATATTAGTCCGTTGATTGGTGTAAATGGAGAGATCAGATCCAATTGCAGAAGGGTCAATGGGAGCTAATTATATTATAAATAAAGCCCGCTTTCTTAATAATTGATTGTTGTATTTAAGTTGTTAAAAGCTTGAAAATGTTTTATGCTATATTTGTCTACTTTCAAGTTTCAAGCAAGATTTTCGTAATATGGAAATGCAAATCTTGATTATTATGTTAAGAAATTAAGAATGATGAATAAATATTACCGTTCAACAAACATTTACTATTCAGTCCTTACAGAAATTTGCCAATATTGTCCATGTTCTACAAATTTACTTTCGATGTACCTTCATTGAGCAAGCACACGACAAAAGTACATCGAAAGTAAATTTTATTCGTTTTGACGGAAATGAATAAAAATAAAATTTTATCATTTTTTTAATCAAATTTTATCAATTAAATAAGAAAATAAACAAATGTGATGCAACCGAATAAACAACTTGGATCTGTTGATCATGTCCAATTTTAACTCAAAAGTTGAGCCTTTCTTTTAATGGGTTATTATTATATCAGGGTAAAGTTGGCCCAAATTACATGTTCCGATCCACTGAGTCGGCCCATGTCTACGTGTATGCTGACATGGCACTGACGTGGCCCACCCCCCACTGGTATCCAGCTGCACCAAAATTACTACTTGCAGAGAATATCTCCCTCTCTCTCTACAGCTTCGTTTTGAGTCGAACCCAATTCACACAATTAATTATCTCATCCCTCCCAAAACCACCCCTAAAAAATACAATCCGGATCCCTGTTCAACCCGGGCTTCACTGAAGAAAGGTGGTGAAAATGAATAACGACAAATCCATTTCAAGAATCTCACATCACCGCTTCTTCTATCCATGACCTAAACCCTCAATTTTTCTCTCCTGTCAACTCGACGAATATACAATCCTTCTTTTTTTCTCTTTCAGGTCAACTCCCTGTATCTGTATCGTTCTTACTTATATTCTGTTTTTTGCAGCAAAAAGATCGAATCTTGTTGGCTTTTTTTTTTTTTTTTTTTTTTTTGTCTCAGTAGAGGCGGAAGAAACCCTTGGTTTATTTGTTATTGTTTGTGGCTAGAAATCTTTATTACTTCGTCTTTCGTGTTTGGATTGGCGAAAGATTTTTGATTTGTTCATAATCGAAGTGACCCACCCTCTTTGTTTTCTTTTGCCCCTTTTTCAATTACGAAGATGTGGGCTTTTTGATTTGGTTGACTCGCTTGAATAAAGCTAGGGTTTTTTCTTTTCTGCACCCCATCTCACGAGTTGACCGGGAGCAATTTTGGGTTTTGATTTGCAATTGAAGTTGGTTTAATTCTCTTAGCCTTGATTTTCGCTTGAGTTAATCAGTTGAACTAGCTGGGTCTTGGAATCTAGACTCAAGAAATTAGGTTGTTGTTTCGATGCAACAGTAGAAATGCTGTTTTCTTGCAACTGCAACTAGGGTTCAAATCCTTTTCTTGAATTTAGGAAACACTTCCAAGCTTCATTAGTTTGGACACAAATCAGAAAGTTGTCTCTGAAGATAAGTGTCTTTTTTTTTTCCTCGTTGTAAGGGAAAAATTATCGTGGCCCGTGAATCTCAATGGCAGAAGAGAACACTAGTACAATGAACCTCGATCTCAATTTAGGACCTGTCGATAATTCCAGTGATGATAGTGGTGAACCTCCATCAGGGTCCTACCCTAATGTCACTATGAACTTGGAGGATTGGTTAGACGATCCAGTTCAACGTGTTCGAGAAGTCGTAAGGAACAGAAATCACCGGTGGCGTTCGTTGTGGAGGCAACTCCCGATCCCCACCGAAACACGAAACCTTGCAAGGGAATTAATCGGTGGAGATTTGCCGCACATCGGCGAGGGCAGTGTTGCATCTGACGAAAGGCCTGCTGACGTGGCCAACAAAGCCTGCGAGAATTGCACTGGCTATGTTGAAGAAGATGCTCTCGGTAAGAAGAAGGATGGGGAGAAAAACAACGGGGAAGAAGGGAGTTTTTTCGATTGTAATATATGCTTAGATTTGGCTAAAGATCCAGTTGTTACTTGTTGTGGTCACTTGTTTTGCTGGCCTTGTCTGTACCGATGGTTACATCATCATTCGGATGCTAAAGAATGCCCTGTTTGTAAAGGAGAGGTCACTGTAAAAAACGTGACCCCAATTTACGGTCGAGGTAATAATCACACAAAAGAGCCCGAAATTGATTCGAGTCTGAAAATCCCTATTAGGCCAGCTGCACGAAGAGTAGAGAGCTGGAGGCAAGCTATTCAGAGGACTGCTTTCACTATTCCAATGGAGGAAATGATCAGGCGACTCGGTAGTACGTTCGATTTAAGCCGCGAGTTATCGCAAATACAAAATCGAAACTCGGACAATCCACGCGAATCACCCGAGAGAAGCAACACCTTGCTGAACAGAATCTTGACTTCTCGAGCTATTCGCAGAGAGCGGGGGCCACCACCCCCAGATGATGTCATTGACTTGACAGACGTCGGCCCCACGAACTACGAGACGAGGGATAACAATAATAACAATAATAACAACCGGAGGCTTTCGTCTATGTTGCTTAGGAGATCGAACTCGCACCGGGCGGCTTCTTTGTCTAACTTGGCTTCTGCGATAAACTCAGCTGAGAGTTTAGCTGCAGTAGAATCGTATTTCCACATAAATCCTGTGGAGAGAAATCAAGAACTGCCACCGCCATTCGATGACAGGGATTCTTTGTCCAGCATAGCTGCAGTGATACATTCGGAGAGCCAAACGGTGGATAACGCTATTGAGATTGATTCGACTGTTTCGCTATCGACTTCTTCTTCTAGAAGGAGGAATGACCCTTCTAGAGTTTCGGATGTTGACAGTGGAGATTCGCGTGCGCCTCGGAGGAGAAGATTGAACTGAGGATACCGAAAGAAGAATAAGATAGATTTTATTACAGGTGAAGCCATGGTTTAGGTACTCCCATTGAACTTTTTTTTTCTTTCCCTACAGTCTTAAAGTCATTAATAGTAGTATATCTATCTATTATGTGATGTATGTGTTGCAAGTTTTGTTCACTAGAGTTGGGCATATTTTTAATTTACCTGCATTGTAATTGAATGTTGTAGTGTTGTGATGTGATGTGATGTGGCATATCAAATTTGTAATGTAACAACCAAGGTTGATTTGTTAGTTGTTCTACTACTTTCTGATTGTAACAATTTATCCAGAGATTTCATTATTACAAGAGAATTGGGCTCTTCTTCTTCTTCTTTTTTCAATTTTTTTATTTTATTATTGCCTTTATTTGTTGGAATTTAAAACTCATACTAGCTTCTATTAAATTATTAATATGTTGGCGTGGTGGTGAAATTTAATTGTATTTATTATAATACGGTTGGCCTCCAACGTTTTTGTTATGTGCACGGTAAAGTTTATTTATCTATTATCATCTATATTCTATGGTGCACGAAAACTTCTATATTCACGCGTTCTTTCGTATTGGAAATCGAAATGCCAGCTTTTCCGCCAAAAAAATCCAAAACTCGTTAGCCATCTTGTAACAAAAGAATTTATTTACACTAAAAATCAATTCTTTATTTATGACAAAGGTTAGAAAAAAATTATGTAGGAAATGTAACAACAGCGTCGCTTTGGCCGAGTGGTTAAGGCGTGTGCCTGCTAAGTACATGGGGTTTCCCCGCGAGAGTTCGAATCTCTCAGGCGACGCTTCTTCTAATTTTTTATATTTTTCATTTACTGTTTGAATCAAATTCCATGTTTATTTACTTTTTAAAATACAAGCAAGAACAAACGAATGATCCGAATGTGCTTAATCCATATCCGTTGTTATAAGATTTGACGCAGCACTGCAGCTCTTCGTCTGTGCTTCTCCTTCAGCAACAGCTATTGCAACTAAAACATAAAATCGAAACAAATAAAAGTTTGCAAGTGGAATGAAGTAGTGTGACACACTGATGTAGGTTCGTTTTTGTTTATAATTGTACGTGTTCGTTTTTTAAGTGATAAAGAAATGAAAATATAAACATGAGAGAATAAGAACAAGAACCCGAGAAAATATTCGTTATAAATTCTGTTTACTCTATATGCCTCTATTGGATGCATGTGGTATTTATATAGTCTTGATTGATGAAATCTATCTGTTTTTAGGATCGAAAATCCCATTTCGATTTTACATTTATGGTTCACAAAATCTATAACGAATAATAGCATTATGCAATTTTAACACACAAATTAAAACAAAGGAAAGTAGCTATTATTTCTAAATTCTTTGTGAATTTTGTTTACTTTGATCTCTATGCCTTATACAATTCATGTTGCTATACTTTCAACTGCATAGCGTACACTTGGGTTTATTTGAATTAAGAAAATTGATTAAGAAGCTAATTAATGGATCAACAATTATAAAAGCAAGAACAAATGTATGATCCAAATGATGGACCGGATGTGCATTGCCCGTTTCCGTTGTAAGATTTGAGGCATTGCTCTCTGCAATTCGAAAGTTGGCACCCGCTCTTGTCCAATATCGCTATGCATCTCCTTTGAGCATCCACTTCAACAACACCAACTACTAGTGCCACTGCAAGTACACTCGCAAATTCATTTTTATTAATCATCATATATTGTTTTACAACTCTAATGTTTCGAACTCAAGATAATTAAATATTCGTAAAAATACCTGAGAGAACAAGAAAAAGAAGCCAAAAACACTTGGCCATATCTGAAAAACTTGATTAATTTTATGATCTTTTTTTTTTCTTTTCGATCTCTATGCGGCCTCTGATCCATTGGATGTACGTTGGAGGTGTTTATATAGTATGGAAGAGCTGATGAAATGTATAATCTGTTTATAATATAGGTAGGGATAATCCCATTTTGATTTTATTTTTTAAGGTTACTACAATTTCTCAATATAAGATTATTAGCTTATTACCATCTATATGCAAATGTAAAACAGAACAAAGGAAGGTAATGTAATTATATTTTTTTAAATCCGATAATCATATTTATGTATAAATTGAATTGTGATGTTTATCCAACACAGATAAAAAGGAAAGTAAATTATAGTACATTGGTGCTATTTACGAAATACATTTTCCCTTAATTAATATATTCTTTGAAATATAAAATAACAATTAGGACACACGCATAAAGGGGTAGTGTGGAAAAAATGGAGAAAATGATACTTATATTAAGTTAAGGTAAATATATTTTTAGCTTCCATTAAATGTAATCATTCTAATACTTGCAATTTGCAACATTATTTTAAATAATTATTTTAAAAACAAATAATCTGACAGGAGATTGGTGAATTAGGACCGTCCATGAGAATAAAATTTATGTAGGATGGTAAAATGATTTGGGAGAGGTGCAAGAAGAAGGCAGGCACGCATGTTTGAGTTAGTTTTAGCGGTTAAGGAAACTTGCATGCGCCTTTCCCGCGAAATTAAGAAAAATAAGCCTTGTTCACTTTTTCCCAAGAAAGAAAATAAATAAAAAAATTAGACACAAAAATAATCTTTGACCATTTTCTTGCCATCTTTCTGTCTCTTCACAGGTTCATTTTCTTGATTCTAACTCGTCCATTTCTTATTTTTTTCTTTCGTGGTTGTTGATTCATTCGTATGGGATTTTGGTAATTAAAAAAATTGTTGGTTTAAAGATTGATTTATATAAATTAAAGAAGGTTGTATTGTATGTACGTGGTTTAATTAATTCAGAAAGCAAAGAATGTCGTGTTGTGGAGGTGCAGAAGATGAAACAATCAGTGGTCCTCCGGCAAACAATTACAGTACCGCCCCGCCTAATAGCGCGTATGGCCACGGAGGAGGTTACATATTAATATATAATATATATATATATATTTGTTAATTAATGAATTAGATGCAGACTAGTCCTCCTATATATATAGATATTAATAATAATGAAATGTGTTGTTATAGGTGGAGGTGAAAGAGGAGAGCCAAGGTCATCTGCAGCAAGAGGAGGTGCGGGGGCCCCACAGAAAGTATTGCCGATAGAGATACCAGCTCTGTCGTTGGACGAGCTTAATAAAGCCACCTCTAATTTCGGATCGAAAGCTCTTATCGGAGAAGGCTCTCTTGGCCGTGTCTTTTACGCTAAGCTCAAAGATGGTCAGGAATCTGCTATCAAGAAGCTCGATACCTCCTCCACAGACCCCGACACCGACTTTGCTGCCCAGGTCGGTCGGCCGGATTTATTAATATTAAATGATTTACATCGACTTTGCTAATTTCCCCCTTTTTTTTACGATAATGTAGCTATCGACGGTATCGAGGCTTAAGAACGAGCATTTTGTGGGATTGTTGGGGTACTGCCTGGAACCAAACAACAGAATATTGGTGTACGAATATGCGACAATGGGTTCTTTACATGATGTGTTGCATGGTAGAAAAGGTGTGCAAGGTGCAGAACCGGGGCCCGTGCTGACCTGGAGCCAGAGAGTGAAGATAGCATATGGTGCTGCAAAAGGTCTTGAATTTCTTCATGAGAAATGCCAGCCGTCGATCGTACACCGGGACGTGAGGTCAAGCAATGTTCTGCTTTTCGATGACTTTGTAGCCAAGATAGCTGATTTCAGCTTCACTAACCAGTCTTCCGACACTGCTGCTCGTCTTCACTCGACTCGAGTCCTTGGAACTTTCGGATATCATGCCCCTGAGTACGTAAGCTGATTTCGTAATTACGTACTTGTTCTTGTTAATAATATCGTATATTCGACAAAAGAATTAATTGGTGTATATGTATATGAATATCATGGTTAAGGTATGCGATGACAGGGCAGATAACGCAGAAAAGCGACGTATACAGTTTTGGAGTGGTTCTTTTAGAACTACTGACTGGGAGAAAGCCTGTTGACCACACCATGCCCAAAGGCCAGCAAAGTCTTGTCACTTGGGTATTATTATTATTATTTTTCGATATCATCAGTTTTCGTAACTAAATATCCGATTATCATTTTTATCGACTTAATATAATCGGATATTTAATCCATCATCCAGGCGACTCCAAGGCTGAGCGAAGATAAAGTGAAGCAATGTGTGGACACTAAGCTAAATAATGATTATCCCCCAAAGGCCATTGCAAAGGTATACTATATTATATTCTCATTTTCTTTTTCCTTGAGGAAACTTTAAAAGAAATTAATTTATATATATATTTTTAAATAATTTCACAGATGGCTGCTGTGGCAGCACTGTGTGTGCAATACGAAGCAGATTTTAGGCCAAACATGACTATCGTGGTTAAGGCTTTGCAGCCGCTTCTCAACTCGAAACCGGCTGGCCCTGCTGATAATGCTAATGCATAAATTATGTGTAATGTAGGCTATTAATTAACGTATTAATGTATGGATGTAATATCCGACGACGAGCAGGCCCGGAGATGTTTTGTAATATATATATGCTTACAGTTACAGCAGTCAAATTAACCATTTTGTTACTTTAGTGTTTTTCTTTCTTTCTTTTTTTAATTATATACATGGTGCTACTGTATTTATTTATTCAAACATATTATGCAGAGGGAAAACAACATGTCAAAATGATATATCAGTAACAATAACTTGTGCTGTGGAGTGAAATGTGAAGTAATAAATGTCATGTGCTTCATAAAACAATTTGCAGATGCACATGTTTGATGTGTTTTAAGCTGTAATGAAAATATTATGCAAGTTTTTTTTTCAGGAAATACTTGCTTATCAACTTTGTGACACATGACTTTATCACTTAGAAATCGGGGTATAAGTCCGATGGATCGGTTCGAAATTAGCATTCTCAAAAACTAAATTCAATTCGGTTCAAGAAATTTAGAAATAAAAAATTGAGAAATTGGAATGGAAAAACATGTTCCAAAGTTGCAATGCTAACTTATTTGATTCATCTATAGTACAATAAACTCATAACAATATTAATATTAAATTGGGATTATTTAATATTTTGAGGTTTTAGGTAAAAAAGTAATAAGTCTAAAGATTAGGGGGCGAAGTGGAAATTTGACTATAGTTGTGCGACTGTTCCCGGTTTCAGTTTATTAAGCTAGAATCAAAGAAAAAGTAAATTCATTAAGAAAGTAGTAAAATTGGAAGAGAAAAAAGGGGAATGGCGGCAGTGGAAACAGAAGCAGAAACAATGGAGGTTTGGAATAGAGAAACGGTGCCAACGGTGATGAAGATTGTTAGTACGAGACTTCCTCAGAGAGACCTAATTTCCCTTTTGCTTGTCAGTCCCTCGATTCTTCGGAATCTCATTTCCCACCCTTCCCTGTGGCTGGTAATTTCTTCCTCATTTCTATGTTAATTTGAAATCTTCTCTCGTCTTTAATCGTACTCTATACTTGCTATTTCTAGAATGGGTGTTGAGTTTTCCGCTCAAAGATAGGTGCTGAAGATATTTGCCTGTGTGTTTTTCTTCATGTTGGGAATTAAAGATTGTATTTTGAGTAGATATTGTAATATATTGGATAATGGGTTTGATATTTTGGTCAGGTTCTTGATTTTCATGAGATGAATAATGCTGGGGATCGCCTTGTGGCAGCTCTCTCACTGGTCAATATTTTCTTCTCACTTTCCTTTATCTATTTCCATGGATGTTTTCTTTTCTTTTATTTTTCCTGATTGTTGGGTGGTTTCTGGAGAGAGAAAAAAACACTAGGAAGAGAATTGAAAATAATATAATCCACTCGTTCTATCTGAAAAGGTATGCACGAGAAAGGAATCGCTCCTAGTATTGGATTTATTCAGTTATGTTCGCTCATTAGTCCAATGCACGTTACAATACTTGATTTTCTGATAACCCGAACCACTCAAGTTCTAAGAATAATTATCTTGGAAGTATAAATTACTTGAAATATACTGCATTGTCGGCGCATCACCGTTTATTTTAATGTTAAGTAAATTGAAGCAAGTACCTCACTTGTCGGGTTGATTTCTAACAAAATCGGCAATTATCTTTCAGTCGAGATACCAGAATGTGAAGCATATAAACCTCGAGTTCGCCCGTGATATTGAAGACAAGCATCTTGAAATTGTTAAAAGCAAGGTGCTATTTCAAGCTTCCATATTTTGTTGACTCTTTAATTACTTTGGCTTTGTTTTCGGGTGTGATGTAACTATGCAAAAACAGTTGTACCGGTGCAATAGAAGGATTGAAACTATAAGATTCACCTTTTTTTTCTAAATATATCAATTTTTATGACTATACTTGTCTATGCAGTGTGGACATTCTTTCAAAAGCATAGAGGTTCTTAATTTGAATGGCTGCCAAAAGATATCCGACGTGGGAATTGACCTTATAACATACAATTGCCCGACATTAAAGGTTTTCTCAATCTACTGGAATGTCAGGTACTTTATGCTTTGCTGTAAAAATGTATACACTGTTTTTCTACGTTTAGGGATTATGTTGAAATAAAAGTTCACGTCCAAGAATTATGGACTTAAGATAATATTGTGATTTCAGGGTTTCAGATATTGGAATTAGGAACTTAGTGAAGAACTGCAAGCTCGTGATTGATTTAAACCTGAGTGGTTGCAAGGTATAATGGAATGGAATATACTTGTTTTTTCTGAGTTCCTACGTTACTTTTTTGTCTGAAATGACCGTCTTAGCCAAATTACAGAATGTGACTGATGAAAGCTCGAAATTGATTGCGGAATCTTATCCAGGTTTGCAGCACTTGAACCTAACAAGGTATTTCATATCACCGTGTCTTGGCTGATGAATAATTGGATAATATATATCAACTCAAATAAATATTTCAGACGAAGTGGTTCGCGTTTCCATTTCAAAAGTCAAATAAATAATATATCGTGTACAATGAATTGATGTATGTAGATGCATCAAGCTGACAGATAAAGGTTTGCAGATGATATTAACCAAGTGCTCCTCACTTCAGAGCTTAAATCTTTATGCCCTTTCCAGGTAAAATAAAATAAAATAAATAAATAAAGCAAAGCTTTGTCGATCAAAAGTTTGCAATGGGTTACAGTTTCGGTATCTTACATTTTTGTGCAGTTTCACAGATATTGCTTACAAGAAGATATCACTTTTGATTCACCTTCAGTTTTTAGATCTGTGTGGTGCTCAGGTATGATGATTTTAGCCTACGCAATTATTCATTCAAAAATTGTTATATATTTGTTCATGTGCTCGATGAATTTACTTTTCAACAACACAGAATCTTTCCGATGATGGACTTTCTTGCATAGCCAAGTGCAAAAACTTAACTTCTCTCAATTTGACATGGTATGTTCAAATATCAGTGGCTGTCTTATTTATTCTTCTTCAGATCAAAAGCAAATTAGTTAACAGTTAAAACCCGAATGCGTGGTGTTGATTTACGAGCAGGTGTGTTCGAATCACCGATCAGGGAGTCTTAACTGTTGCAGAAGGATGCAGGTCTCTTGAATTTCTGAGGTAAGTATTTGGATATACGTTTGTTAGATGTTTGAAAATTGACAAAATTCGACCCTCTTCTAAATGTATATTACGGTTGATAATGCAGCCTGTTTGGAATAATTGGGGTTACAGACAAGAGCTTGGAGGCACTTTCAAGCTTCTGTTCTAGTACCATTACCACTCTGGATGTCAATGGTTGCATCGGAATTAAGGTACTTACTAAGCTGTAATAATATGAGAATATGATCATTTAATACTGGTGTAATAATATATATGTATGTAATTGTGGTTGCAGAGAAGAAGCCGCGATGAGCTTCTTCAGTTGTTCCCAAAACTAAAGTGCTTTAAAGTCCATAGCTAATTTCTGGGATAGGACGGAGTTTTCATAGTCTGTGTTGTACGGCAAGACCCGAGCAGAAACGAACCGTATATCTATGTCATTGGCATTTATACAACATTTCCTACTATTTTTTAGTCGATTGTGACTGAAAGGAAAGAATCAAGCCTATGTAAGATGTCGAATATATATGCAGTACTCTGAAATTTTATCTTGCTTATAAAAACATCATTTGTCATGTTTTCATTGTAAGTTTCGCAATTCGTACGACAGTCTATTGCTTACAGTACGACAGTTTATTTAATTTTTATTTTAAATCTGGAAGTGTTTGGTTTAGCTGTCATTACTGCATTCTCTCTGAAAGCGAAAAAATGTGATTGCCTTCTGCAACGATACTCAGTGCGCATCTTACTGTAAAACGGGATTGCATTTCACATACAGAATACACGTACTGTAGATATATTTCTATTTCAAAATAACGAATTAGGAAATGAGAAAATTAAAGAAAAGCATTATCATAATTTTTCTATAGAGAAGCAAGGTACATGATATAAATAAGCTCATTAAAGAAAAAGAAAAAAGAACAAAAAAAAAAAGGACCCCCAGAAGGATACAACTATAGGTAGTTTAAAGAGGGGAAGGGGGAAAATTGATAATCTACAGTTACAATATCACTTCTTTCTTTAACTTAAACAGTTACAATTTATCAGCTACTACATTACTAGACTCTTTCTTCTTTCGGCCCCAGACCTGCAGCAAACAATGTCGATGATTAGCTTTTGCAGGATATTATGAAAATACCGATTTACGATTTACTGGGTGAAAAAATTTCTTCACTAATACAATTGACAAAATAAATTTTACTACATGGGGGTTGACTGTTGAGATGGTGATAAACAGAAATTCTATTTTGGGAATAATCACTTCAAACAAATAATCACTTCAAACAAATTCTCTCAAATAATCACTTTAAAACACTAGAAAAAAAAAATTCTATACTGAAAAATCAATGTAGAGAACTAGGAATTGAACTAGTTGAGAATTTGAGGGGGAGAGAGAGAGAGAGAGAACAGTGGGCGCACCTCATATCAGCGTCTAGTCCTGGGCTTGCAGCGGAATTCAGCTAAGAGTGCTATGTGATCTGAAGACCATTCTGGAGAAGGAAGTGCAGTATCTTTCCGCAAGCTATCCTCATCCAAAAGCTCCAACAGAGACTCCACCGTTAAGCAGTCGGCTATAACAAATAAAAAAAATCGAATCTCAATTAGAATCAGAGAGTCCCCATATAATGTGAAATCAGATAATGAAGCAATTTAAAAAAAAAAAAAAAAAAAAAAAAATGTTTGTTGGAGGTAGTGCGGTGGGGTGCGAAAAAACAAAAAAAAAATGAACAACTCAAGTATACCTGAATAGAATATGTAATCATGAGTACCAATAAAATCTCTAGTGCAATTTGTAAATAGGGGTTCATTTGTAGCAGGATCTATTCTCCTCCTCTGATCTAGACCAAGTCCAACCCCAACTCTTGCAAAGGATGAGTAAGCACTCACCTGGAATAATACAATGCAGACAAAACAATAAAATTAGACATGTACATAAACCGCAAGTTTAACCAACAACTGTCCAACACTTAATTGAGATTCACTATGTTATTATACCAATGGCAGCTGATGCGTTAGTTTGCTAGACGGAAGAAGAATTCCAAGTGGGTCCATGGATAAGTCCGGATGATGCTGATCAACTTTCCCCATAGCAAGGAGGGCATGTGGAGCACTGTACGTATGTCCCGGAAGAAAACGAAAAAGAAAAAAAAATCTAAGGCATTTTACATGTATAACAATTGAAACTACGAGCTCTGTCCCTATAGTCGTAAAATAGAGGATATAGACAAAGCACCTTCCAGGAACAGAGTTGAAATCACCGCACACCAACATTGGTATATCTGCACTTACAGCAATTTTTTCCAGTCCTTTAATGAGTGTATGAACCTGAAATGGAGGAAAAGCAATTTGAATATTTCATGGAAAGAAAGCTAGTTAAGGGAGATACTGGAATCAAACAAGAACCTGCCAGAGCTTCACATCTTTCAACTCTTGATGCACATTTACATGTGTGTTTGCCTGCGTTGAGATAGAGACAGAGTAACATAACGACCATGATCACAAGATGCTCTACAAATAGCCCCAATATATAACTAGAAGTGACTGTATCAACAGGTATATGTCAAAAATTGTTGTCTACCATGAGGATATAAAATACTGCAGATTGATGCGTAAAAGGCTTCTGATAGAAGTTTTCAAAACATAACCAATTCATTCCAGAAGACAGCTAAAAACTTTACCTCGTGATGCTACCACCAGAAGTAGAACATGATAATATAAGAAGGGAAAAATTGGGTGCTGGTGCTCACACCTCTAGTTTTTTACTCGCTAATTCCAACATATCAATAGAAGAAATTATCTTGAAAAAAAATATATATAAAATATATTGCATCAGTAATTTACCACGCAAACAAGCTGGCGCTTCCCAGGGACATCAATACCCTGGTTACCAAACTTGGCTTCTAGAACTACAATCAGTGCAACATTATCCTGTATGAAAGAAAAGGGATATCAAATTATATCTGTACCAGAAATGTGAGAGAACGCGAGAAATACAGTTTAAGAAGCAACAGTGAACGTTATAGATACGGTACCTTGATCAACCGATTCAAAGCATTTTTCTTCTGGGCGCTAGGAACCAAAGCATCAATTAGAGACCGTGCAGCTTTGTTGAACTCAACCTAAATTCATAAAAGCGAATGATTAAAAGGACAACGGAGGAGCTCTAATGTCACACAGACTGATGGCAGCAATTTTGTCACCTCGTATTTTTTTACATGAGAAAATCTATCACGACGGAAGAAAGTAGCACAACCATCAATACTGTTGTTGGGCCCAGTAAAAATCTGTGACAACAATAGCCAAGTACATCAATAACAGCACGACTATATCATTAAGATTAAAAAAATGGTTTGACAAACCTCTCCTGATTTCCTTTTAAATATAGCTTGATAACCATGTTTGTCTAGCTCGGGTCCGAAGAATTCCTCAAAATGATCGCTTTGAATCTGAAAGACAGGTAGAACAGGGAAAAAAAGGGTTAGAGAGTGTAAAACATTATGGAAATGATGACACGTGCACAATTCAAACTATATTGGCCTTCAAAAAAGGTAGAATTTAAGAAGCCATTTCTGTCTCAGGCGGGATAAGAAAGAATATGACTCCCTAAAAGTAAGGCTCGGCAAATAGTATTCATTTTTGTTCCTAACAGGTAAGTGAAGAATCTGTTAAATCCAAAAAAAAAGAGAGATTTCAATATAAAAGTAACTCCCACACCAGATACTCTAAACCATTTTATATGCCCCGCCAATCATAAGAAATCTTAAATCCAAAGCTAACTTCTAAGACTTTCAGAAAGCAAAATTGATTTTCCCACATGGTTATGTACCTCTTGAAGACAAACAATGTCAGCACGGTAGCCAACTATTTCTCGTAGTAAGTTTTGCCTGCGGTAAGCCCATGAAAGAGCCCAAGGGGGACAATAGCTGTATGTTTCATTAGTAGCATATACATCGGACAGTATATTGTATGAGAGCACTGTAAATGTCCCTGAAGATGAAATGCGACCATCCCCATCTTGATTCCCAGGCGCATCTATTCCGCTGACATAAACCATTCGGCGTGGACTCGGTGATGGTGCTGGAATGACGCGGGAAGTTAACAAGGTACTGGCGGACCCCACCACTAACTTTGTCTCAGCATCTACCACGACACACTCAAATTTAAGAACATGACCAATGTCATCAGCTGTTGGTGTGTATGTCTTATTACATCCAACCTCAAACCAAGTCTCACCACCCCTCTGAGTTACTGTAGCAGGGTACAAAGCAGTGTTGCCATTCGATAAGCTGGGATTTGATTGAGATGTTGTCATGCTCCCATTACCACCAGTGCTACTGAAGCGCCCGAAGATTTCTTCCTCCTCACTTCCATTTTCATTTACAGCACTGGCAGCTCGCTCATGTAGAACACGATGATGTTGCCAGGCATCAGAAAAACACTTGGTAGAACAGTGATAACTCTTAGCAACAGGTATTTTTGCCTTTACGCATCCAAGACATTGTAACGTAGCCTGCTCAGTTGGGTGAACACTACAAACTGCAACTTTTTTGTCACTTTGAATGCGATACCTGCATAGGAACACAGTTATTTGTACGTAAGAATACATTCACAACCGATGTGTCTTGATGTTGCCATTGTTTATACCTGATTCAATTATTTTAACAGATTAGGAAGTTTTAACTAAAGAGAGTAAGCGGCTCACATTTTTGCTAATATTTAAGCGAAAGTAAAACTTAAAATAATTCCCTTATAAAGGACATAAATGCGAAACAATTAGATGCAGTATGACACACGTTACAGCTAACTCACATATAAAAAAAAAAAAAAAAAAAAAAAAAAAAAAAAGACAAAAGTCGAATCTTTTCTCCAGAAATCACGGAGTAATATTTGTGAGATCACAGGATAGATCAAATCAAATATCCATGTATTTACACAACAGAAATAAAGCATCAATAGCAGAGAAAAATAGACAATGCGAACAACTAGCAATGAGCAACCCGACAAGGCGACAACCTGCTTCCAAAAACTTGCGCAAAAAAATAATGAAATGCCAAAAAGAAGGAATGTCGAAAAAAAATGACCAGGAGCAATTTGAATTAAATTGAAAACAAGTAAGCAACATCACGCACTCTTATAACTGTGTTTCGGTGGAATAATTTCCCAACAAAATTATATTATATTAAGATTTATAACTTTCTTTCACCCTCACAAACTCTAATAATCCATCGTGATGGATCATAGACCTTTAAAAATAAACAAAACCTAATTGGAAACTAATCCCCTTATTTATCTACCTTCCTTCGAACAACTGTTGACCTAAAAATTGAAAAATCAAGACACCAGAAACCAGTTTTGAAACTAAAAAATGATACCCACATACATAAAAGCACAAATGCACAATAGAAAACTGACCATTTATATCGTAGGAAATGCCCATCAATCGGGTTGAACTCAGTAACATCATCTGTGAAAACAGACTTATCAGCGCGCCTCAAAAGCACATAAGGAGTCAATTCACATCCCACAATTGGTATTTCGGACGGCAAGTGCACCCGCAGCACAGTCAGCATTTTAATCTAAACTCAATCCTATTCAATCTCTCAGCCCCTTCTTCTGACGTCTCTTCAAAACCTAAAACAAAGCAAATCGAATATTCAAGCATCAACTGTCGGCGGACTTGTGGCGGATCCGCCATCACCGGTGCGCGGCGCCTATCGCCAGCCTTGCGCTCTCAAAACCCTAATAAATACTTGAATTAATTGAGATCAATTGATATAAAACTATGATGAAAAATGGGAAAAAAAGACGATCTTGAGGGTATTTGGATACGAATTCAGGAAAATTTGACGATTCAAGGGAAATCGATAAGCTGGGGTAGGAGGAAATGTCTAAATGTGGAAGGGGGGAAAAACTGTGTGGAAAGTATAGAGAGAGAAAGCAAGTGGCAGGAAACCGATTGATTAGGGTTTTGCAGGAAAAAAATAAGAAAGAAAATGAAAAATTAAGAAGGGCAACTGGCAAAGACGAGGATGAAAAGGAGGAGAGGGTCGTCTTCACATATTAATAAGAGCGGAGAGAAATGTTGTTTACTATTTTAAACAAAATAAAAAAAAAAAAAAAAAAAAAAAAAAGTAAAAGGGTAATAAATGAATATATATGGGAAGTATCTTAATTATTATGTATAATAAATAATAAATAAATTGATGGAGAAACAGATCAGACAATCATTATGGAAAACAATATTTATTTATTTTTGTAAAAGTTGACAATAGCATATTGAAATATCTATTTAGTGGTGGTCATAACTTGTATTTGTTAATACTTAATAATAATATGTTGTATCAAACTAATCAACAAATTTTGGATGTGGAATCATAACAATTAGAAAAATAACATTTTACAATACAAAAATATAAATGTTTGTGGATAATGGTAATGTATTTCACCAAATATAGCATCTACAGGACAGACGTCCACCTTTTTTTTTAAGAAACTCAAACGCTATTAATAGCAAACGAAGTTACAAGAGTCAAAGATGGGAAATCCCCATCACGAAAACAACAAGACCGAATTACTTTACTCGGATCGAACAATCATAGCAATACAAAACAGTTTATCATCACAAAATTCAGACACTACTACAACAAGAACCAGAGTTGACAAAGTTTTCAGTTTTGTATGTTTGTAGTTTGCTATTAATGTACTAGTTATTATTTTTACAGGTTCATAATGTAATTACTATCTCGATTATCTTTTTTTTCGCAGCTTCTTCGTTTTTCGTTGTTCAACGACAAACTCTGATTGAAATCGAAATCGACCAATTTTAAGGATCAAGATTTATGCCGACAAGAATTTGTATTTTTAATAAATTTTTATGCACGTCGAGTGTGACGAGACATTACACAAAAAAACAGAGAAAAATACAATAGAGAATTATTTGGGAGGTCCATGGCAGTAAAACGTGCATATGCAGTATGAGTTATCTACGCATCTTCCTCGGCCTTGTGACTTTTCAAAGCATTTCTTCATGCATTTGTTCGACTCGCATTGGCCTATTTGGATTTTTTCGCTGCATCTGTGCTCCGGAATCCAGGCTGAAGCCTCATTATTCAATCCCCTGACTGCAGTTAATTGTAAATTTAGCAGAGAAGAAATATTTCAACAATGTAGATATTGTAAGATTTTTGTTACCATTTCTTACCAATAATAATGTCACAAATATACGAATAAAGAAACAAATTGATAGAATTAAACCTGAAGAGAGAGTGAGAACGATGACGAAAATGATTGCAGCATATAAAATTTTCATTGTGAAGAGAATCGGAATCGTCGAACCCGCTGTTTGTGCAGTAATGAAAATAGAACTGCCAATATGTATATATACAAAAGCAAAATTGATTGTTACTTATGTAGAAAGTAATTGATTTTGGACAAAAAAGAAAAGAAAATTATTATTTATTACCAAATCTCTAATCAAGATCACATAACATTTAATAAAGTTTACAAAAAATATAGAGTGGATACTGAGTTATATGAAGATGTAAACTGTAAAGTATACTATAGAGAAGAAACTCACTCACTCACTCTTATGAAACACACAACTACCTCTTTACTTCAGCACAAGTTCTTTTCTTTCTGCCCACTCTTAATGCAAAGCACCAATGTGTACAAACTTATGTTACTATTACCTAATTGGAATCCTGTTGCAATCCAACATATCAATACATTTGATGGTAATCGCAACATACAAAGATTGTACCTACCGAATATTTTCATATGATGCAAAAATTATGCAAGAAAAATTTAACATCATAGAGAAAAATAGGAATACATAAAGAACACCAGATGCAAGAATTGATAAAGTCAGAAATAAAACTGATCCAAAACTGGTCTAAATTTATCAATAGCTAACTCCTTGTCCATTACATAAACAAAGCACGAAAGAGAGAATTAAGTTCTGAAACAACAGTTCAAAATGAAATGAAATGAAGAAAAAAACACAAAGGAATCCAAGGCAACAAGATAATCCTCTTAGTATCCTCCCTTGAGATCGTTGACGACATCGTATGGAATGGGAGTGACGGTCTCGAGGGTTGCACCTTCGACAACCATGAAACCAGGGTTTGGTCCTTTAGGCTGCCTCTTAGTGCTAATAATCATGCCTTGTGCCTTTGCTTCAGCCTTGAGCTTGTCATTCTTCTTTCTCCTCAGCTGCACCTCCTCATGGCACCTTGATGGCTGAACATGCTCGATACGAACATGGATCCTCTTCTTCAGGATCTTGTTGCGAACCTACATTCATGACAAATGAAAACACCAAGCATAAGTTTCATTGTCTTTTGAGAGTCGAATGGGGCAGAAAAACACAAGTAAATAATAATCGCAAACTAGAGTACAGAACAGTTGAAAAAGCAATAAACATGGCAGCTATAGCATAATTCCCCAAGAGTATATGAAAATCAAATTATATAACATAATTATGGGATTAGTTAGCAATTCTTCAAACCAAACACAAATTGCAAAAGCTCGTAAAGATATACAGATATAGTTAAACAATATATAGAGTCTCAGACATCCAAGGAAGGATAAGCAACATGTGCTCTCAAGCCCGGCAAAGGCGAAAGCAATCAGGCGGCCACTGCGAATGTTTTGAGAAACAAGCCTTAGATTTATCATCATAGACATCCAGAAATTCGACAAATGTTGTAATTCAAATTTGTAAACAAACACAAATCACAAATTGACATAGATAATATTGATGAAACATCAATTAAGCATTTCAAACTCATCCTATTTTCTTTCACAAAACGGCAACAATTCCAATCAAATCAACTGTAGCATACTGAGAGGACAATTACTGAAATTTAAAAAAAAACAAGCCAAATGCAGCAAAATGGAAGATATAATACGAAAATACAGTCATACAACGACATACCAAACACAGCTAATTCGATATAATCCCAAAAATTCGAAATTCAAACAGAAAACACAAAAAAAAAAAAAAGCAAAGTAAAAAAAGGCAGATCGAAGAGGAAGAATACCTGCTTGTTGACTTCAACACCGATGGCACGCTTGGTGACGTTCCAGACACGACCGGTACGGCCATGGTAGAACTTGTGGGGCATACCCTTGTGGATGGAGCCGTTAACCTTGACATCGACATAGTCGCCGATTTTGAAGATCCTAAGGTAGGTGGTGAGGTGGGTCGGACCCTTCTTCCTGAAAGGCCTCGCGAAGAGATCCCTGGTTCTCGACCTCAAACCGTGTCCCGCCGGCATTTTGTTTTCTCTCCTTTCTCTCTCTCTGGTCTGGTGGTGTTGCGAGTGTGTGTTTGTGGCTGGAGACAAAACCTAAAATGAATGACTGAATATAATATATAAGGATATCTAGGGTTTTAGCCCCCAAATGGGCCGCCGTTGGAGTGTATCATTGGGCTTTCTCTTTTTCTTTTGAAATTGGTTAGTTATTTTTTTGGGCCTTATTATAATTTTATCCCATAGGTTTGTTTGTGTGACTTGCTGCAATATGGTTTTAAATTATTGTTCAATTACGGTCCAAATCCAATACATAATAACATAAATACTATAAACTAGGCAGCCATGGCTACAACTGTAAAGTGCCTAATCTTTATTTATTTATTTATTTATTGGGAGTCAAAAAGTAGGAGGAGCACAAAATAAAGTTTATTCTCATGTGTGGCTTAAAGCCAAGAGGGTACGTATAAGCCAAGTCTAGTGTGGGACTTAGCTTGTCGTTAATAAAAAAAATGGTGATCAATTATTACATGCATGATGAAATACTAAATTAATTGTCGATATATATATTATATAAAAAATATTCATTATATTGAAACTTATAAAATAATAGAGAATTATGTGCATGGAATGGATTGGGAATTATTTATAGATTATCTTTTTACCATCAAAACAATTTGGTTTAGAGAATTTGTTGACTGACTTTATTGTTAATAACCAACTTACATATATTATGGTTCTGGAAAAAGACCAAATTGACTCTCTTGTGTCTAATGTTTGGTCACCTACTAGTCTACTACTACTACTACTACTAGGAAAGTAAATAAGAGAAAAAGAGAGGTCCAAAAACAGACTATAGTCTCACTCATCAGTTGAATATATATATATGTATCATGTGTGATGTGTATATATAAGTAAGCCCCTGCAGCTTCATTCTTTTCATGTTTATTGTTTCTTGTCAAATTAGTTAATTCAACTGATAATTAATTGAGATTAGCATCATGGAAATCACATCCACCATTTTCTGCATTCTCATCCTCTCCTCAAATTTCATCATGATGATTAAGTCACAAGATCAATTCTCCAGAGAATTGTCCAATGAAGAAATAATGGGCCTCAAAACAGAGAAGCTCAGCCACCTCCACTTCTACTTCCACGACATAGTCAGCGGCCGCCACCCCACCGCATTCCGTGTAGCCGAATCCGCCGTCACCAACTCCTCCGCCACCGGATTCGGCTTTATGGTCATGATCGACGATCCTCTCACACTCGGCCCCAATATGACCTCCAAAATTGTGGGAAGAGCTCAAGGGATCTACGCCTCCGCCGATTTGAACAACTTCGGGCTTTTGATGGTGTTGAACTTCGTAAGAAATATTTATGATACTCGAGAGATCGCATCAGTATATTGGGCCGGAACGCGGTCTCCTCCGCCGTCAGGGAGATGCCTATCGTCGGAGGCAGCGGCGTTTTCCGATTTGCTCGCGGGTATGCTCAGGCGAGGACTCACCAGCTCAACTTCAAGACCGGTGATGCTGTTGTTGAATACAATGTCTATGTTTTCCATTATTGATTTGATGGATTATAATTCTGATTACAGCATTAACATATGCTATTTTAATTTCTTTTCTTTAATAATAAATAGTCAGCTGGTTATTTTAAGTGTAGTAGGTGGTCTAATATAATTCACCAACAAACTAAATTACACACTAATTACTTGCTGTATATATTAATTATATTATATTATTAATGAATATTGATATATAACATATATATTTCTGCTTTTTGCGGGGAAATTATGTGACACCTTTTCGTTCACAAATAATAATTGTATTTCACTATTTATGATAATTAAATAAAATTTGGCGTGGGCATCATTTTTATTGTTTACTAAAGTAGTATCAATTAAAATACATAAATTATAGTCTTTAAATTTCTCACATAACAAAAGAAAAAAAAAAAAAAAAAAAAAAATCTACTATTGGGCTTGACCAAAATTATGGGCCTAATAAAAGAAAGCTGTTAATCCATTATCAATATTTTATTGGTTAGAGACGAATTTTGAAACCCATCATCATCATCATCGTGATTCATCAAGTTTTACGAAGAGAAGCTTCGAAGAGGACCATACCGTACCATGATGATCCACGGCGGCTCATCTCTCTCTCTCTCAAACCCTATCAAAGAATGCTTATGGTAATGTGTGTCTCAAATTTCAATCATATTTATAAATTTGTTTCGCACATCATCTGATTCACTCACAATAAGCTTATTACAGCATCTGAATTCGTGTGATCGTATCCCTTTTTATCTAATATTTACGAGCTCAACTTTTTTGAAACTGGAATTTTCCGAATGTAAAATCGCCCTACTTCTCCATGATTCCGCTGTTCTGCTGTTTATGTGCACGTGAATGTGATCTTCAAAATATGTTGAAATAGTGTGATGTGGATATGATATTTCTGGTGTTTCCTTGTAATGATGCATATGGACTTATCTTGAATCCAATTGAAACCATCCTCCCTTGAATACTTGTTGACTTGAATAATTAATTGAACTCACTACTACTTCTACACATGTTTTAAGCGGAGCAATTGAATACAAAGTTAGCTCCTAAACGAGTTGAGCTTTTTTATGAATATAAGAGTGCGTTTGGATGGAGGGATTTGATTTGTGGAAGGGATTTTAAATGAATCCAATTTGGTGTCATTTGAAATCCACCACTATTGCTCCAAAAACAACTAAAAGGGAGGGGTGTGGATTTGAAATTCATCCCCAAAGGCCAAATCCCTCATTCCAAACAAGTCCAAGGGATTTCTTATTATCGATTTGAAATCCCTCCATCCAAATGCACCCTAAACGTAATCTATGTTATTTTTTCAATCTAATTGACTCATCAATTCAATGAACAGGTTACAGACTACGACACCCTATAACGCTGCTCAAACTGTCAACCTCGTTGCCAAGCTTGATGGCCATAGTGGTCTGTGTTTGAGGTATTGTGGTCCTAACTTCCACTCTTCATATGTCTTTGTGCTTCCCTTATTTTCTCTACTTGTGTTTCTGTAGAGTGTATTAATTAGTGGGCCTTCAGATAGTTGGCTCTGTTACCATTTATCACAGTGATCTCTGCTAAACCCGCTCCTACTTATCCCTTTTACTAGTGTTTTTTCCTCTGTGGGGTAAAAAAAAAAAAAAGTTTCCATTAATGCATATTATATACTGTCATCTTTTTAAATTGAGTTTCATGGAAAAACTTTTTCTTTATTTTGGCAGAAAAGAACATGATGAGAAAAATTGAGAATTGTTTTGTAGGATTGGTGCTCAACTCTCTGAAACAAATACAATCATATGCTTTTTACTTTTTATGTTTTAAAGACTGTGTAGCTAATATGAACTCGTATTGGTCTACGATTAACGTTGTTGGACCATATGCTCACAAATTTCTCATTTATTGCATTATATCTGCCATTATGCATACATAACTATGTTATAATGTAACACAAGCACCTTCCCTATGTGCTCTTTCAAAAAATATATATATATTTTGATTATCTAAAAATCCTTTTTAGTGGACTCGAGACTGCCACCCTTCTCCAGTTGAACCTTGGCCTATATATGGCCACAGAATCGAACCCAAATCTTCAACTAGATATGCTTTTGCTCATAATATAAAGTTTGATAGCTACAAACCTTATGAAGCGGCAAAAAAAAGAAAAATCTATGCAGGCCTAATCTCTACGTATGTGTATATACCCCTCATTAAAGGTTATGATGACCCACATGGAAAAAAGTTTGTGGGGAATGTTCATCACTAGTTTATTCAAATTTACCTGCATCTACCTCTGGATAAGTAAATATTAGTTTCTTGTGTGATTTTTATGTGCATTCGAAGACATAAGAATATACAATTATTCGTTATCTTCACTTACGGAATCCTCTGTTTAATGTTTTTGTACATCACACATTCATGCTAAATAGTATATATACATGGCGTGAATGAGTGGCATGAGATTCTAGACACTAGATTTATATAGAGCATAGGTGTGTCTCATCGAGGATTTGTATGCATAATGTACAAATCAAGTTGATTTGAGTTGAGTTCAGAAGATTGAAGTCGTAACAATTAATTTTCAGTTGAAGAAGTGAATATATTTGTAGACTAATCAAAGTAAATCAACTAGTAAACAAATTGTAACTACACTAAAGTCAGCGCGACCATATCTTACTAATTAAGTATGATGTCTCTAAATTAACGAAGAAACAGAATTGGTATTCCTCTACACTCCTCATACCGATCGTGAAACAGCAATAATAGCCTGTCTGATAGAAATGTATAATCTTCGAAAAAAATCGATTAAAGATGTAAATCTAAACTCACATGATCTTGCAACTCCGGCTTCGACTCGAAGCCTACCCGGAACTGAGAACTAGGTACACCATTAATCGATGATAACGGCTTCATTTGGTTGTCCGAGTTAAACAACGGAATTTGTTGACGAGTATAAACCGGTGAGCTATGAGCAGTTGGGATTCGCCACAGAGCCAAGGGGCTTCCGTTGATAGGCTGTGGGTGGTGAGCACTAGTACTGTAGGAGGAGCCATAGCCATAGCCGCCACCATGATTAAGCCTGCTGTTTGCACTGTACGTGGTGGTGGTGCTGTTATTGTTCCATGGATGGTAGGCCATGGGAGGAAGTGTTGTGGCGGATCCTAGGCGGCCGTAATTCATCATGCCGTATACATGTGCGTCGGCCAAGCCACCGTGGGCAATTGCAGACTGCAAGTGAGCTCGTTTGGCTTGCTGGCGTTCTCTCTTGTGCGCGTTTTGGTGTCCACCGAGTGCTTGAGAAGTGGGGAAGTTTCTGCAGCAGTAATGGCATTCGAATTTTCGGCTGCTAATTTCTGAGTTGTCGGCGCTGTCTTTATTTGTCTCCCCTTCTCGAGCGCTGTTATTGTTGTTTTCGGTGGAGTCGGAGTGGTCATCTGTAGTGGTGCCGCCGAATTCCTTGCCGAAAAGCCTGATGGCTCCGGCGCCCTTTTCTTTGAGCTGCGGTGGAGCAGGGCGGATAAAGGGAAGCTGAGAGAAGGACTCGACGTTCATGAAGTCTCGTGTCTCTCTATCAGTCTTGTCCATGGAAGTAGAATAACTAGCTAGCTGCCCTTTTTTGGCTTGAAGAAAAAAGTCTGTGAGAATGAATGGGGAGAGAAGAGAATTGTGCAGGTGGAGGTAAGAAAATGTGAAAGAGGAGAGTAATTCTTGTTAAGAGAGGGTATGGTGGGACCTGAAATGGAGTGGACAGATATCGATGGTTTAAAATATATATATATATATATATATATATATATATGTGTATATGAGGGGAGATAAGGTCCCCAGTTTTGATGTGTGCTGTAGGTGAATATTATGGATCTTACTCTATACTTGGCACTGGTTGGAAAAGGGAGAGAAATGAGTGTATCTAATTGCATGTCATGGTTACTTAGGTTGATCTAATATGAAAATGTCAAGATTCTACTAAGAAGTTAAGACTAGGATAATATTGGCAGTAAGTGATGCTAGTTGTCTTATAAATAATAATATCAGTCATATATAAGGTCATGAATTGTTTTCTAGTCTAATACAAGTGATGTCGTCATTAAACATGTATTAATATAATAAAGCTTGAAAAGGAACCAACCTTGCATGTTAAAAGCCTGCTAGATAGATTGCTCCGGCCATTTGCTGCTGCCACTGTACATGTTTGATTTTATTTTTTCTTTGCAAGATATATATATATATATATATATATATATATATATATATATATATATATATATATTTGCATGCGTATTATTAATAATTGTTATTATTAATAATGATGTTTGTTTGAATAAATAAGTTAAACAAAATGGGATACAGATCGATGTGAGCAGTGGGTGTTGTTCCTCCTCTCTGTCCAAGAAAGAATGAGGACCATGCACACAAGTGAGTACCTCCTATTGCTACTTGATAATATAGCTGCATTGGCTGCTTTGATATTGCTTCTCTTGGATCCATTCTCCAAAGTGGTCCATCAATTGTTACCCAGCTTACATGAATGAAAGAGATGTTTAATCCCCATTTATCCCTCTTTCTGCTCCTCATCTACCCCGGCCCCCCAGTTAAGTACATCTCTCTCTCTCTCTCTCTCACACACACACACACACATCAGTGTGAAAATTCTATTTATTCCAGTGTGTTACATAATTGTTTTCCTTAATTGTGATACTATGTGGGAGGTTGCATGATAAAAGTAGCAAAATGGGCATGGGGCTTTTTCTGGCAATTTTGGTATATATATTTCATTTCATTACATTCTTTAAATAGGAATTCAGGTGGCTTTACCCTTTTAATGTTTCTGGATACATCTTACATGGGATTTTCCTGTTAAAGTAAAAGACTCTAAAAATAGCTTAGCTACGTTGTTTGGACAACACTTTTAGCCTTCCAGCTTGTGTACCATTTCTTTATCTTACTACTGTTACATACCTCTCCTTCTTATATATATATATATATATATATATATATATATATATATATATATATATATATATATTCGTGGTGGAAGAGTAGAAATGTACACACATACCCACATGGGTGTGTGTGATTTTTCTAGTGGGAGTATCTTGATGGGCATGTAATAACAACCCTATTTAGAGTTACCTGCACAGTGGCTAATGAATACAAAAATTACAGGAAAAAGGTACATTCTGTAAATTTTACTGTTGAAGGTAGTGAAAGTTTGACCTGGGACTAGTGTAAAAGTACTAATTACACCGTAGATTCTGTAACTAGTATACATATGCACAACTATTAGAGGAGCAGACTTCAGACACAGCCACAGCCACAGCCACAGCCACAGCCACAGTAGGTAGAAATATAATTGGCATAAACTTACTCAAGTGATGAATATGTCATCTTCATAGGGAACTTTATTTTTTTGTCAATATTTACAGCTTTCTTTCTTTCTTTCTTTCACTGCTTTCAAGGTTATACTCCGTGAACTTTATTTAACCTCTTATATTCCACTAAATTTGAAGGCCAACTATTTAGAGCTAAAGTTTATCCCTCACTTAGCTTCATAGGAACTTGGGATTTTTTTAAGAATATATAATTTTAGGGTCCATTTGGATGGAGGGATTTGATTTGGGGAGTGGATTTGAAATGACTCCAATTTTGTAGTCATTTGAAATCCACCCCTATTGCTCAAAAAACAACTAAAAAGGAGGGGTGGAGATTTGAAATCCATCTCTGAATTCCTCAATCCAAACAAATCCAAGAGATTTGTTATTATGGATTTGAAATCCCTCCATCCAAATGCACCCTTAAGGTTTTTTTATGTTTGATTTGTTTGGCATGAATACTGTTCTGCAAATATACATGGTGCTAGGACAAAGAAAATAATAGTTTCTTTAATTTTTCTGCACAAGAGTATATTTTTATGTATGTATATGTATGTACACCTTCTTCTTACACATAAATATATATGATATATATACAGTAATAATTCATCCTTTTCCTTTTTCCAATTCCAAGACAAGTCACTATCCACTTCATGGGATTTTACAATTTATAATCTGTAGCTATATTTTTTTCTGCTTCTAGTTTTGTGTTAATGGCCTTTGATGGATAGCACCATTTCATTGAAGTGGGTCCCACAACAACCACCACCACCCTTCAATTCTTTCAAACCTCCCTTGCCTTCTTTTACCATTATTATTAATACTAAACTACTTAATTACTGTAAATTCAAACCTCCCTCAGGGGACCAAAACTGTATGTACTACTACTACTACTACTAGGGGTGGGCATTCGGGTCGGGTCGGGTTATTCGGGTTTTTTGCAAAAAAAAAATTACCCGAACCCGACCCGAG